CTTTATTTGATTACTAGACCTGTGCTTTACTATAATACTGCATCATAGAGATAACACAATAATATTAAGCATCCATTCCAATATATGTGCCCTGTTAATGAGTGAGAAGTTGTGGGGTGACTTTGCCCTCAAGTCTGCCCATCCACCATGGATGAAATTAAACACTACCAAGACCTGATCTGCTTGGGGAGGAGAGGTGGCCAGTTTCTCAGAGGGAAAAGGCCTTGAGCCCCTTCCTCTAGGGGCTTTTATTGGATTGTAATACACAGGAATACAGGGCAGCAAGGATCAAACGGTAGATAACATTTCAAAGAAATCTGAGGGCTTAGTATGAGTCAAAGTCTGTCAGGAAGGGGGTTTGCACAAAATTTAGGGTTTCCTGCTCTGACCCTTTACATATGAATGAAAGCACTCTTAGCAAAGCAGGTTTCACAGGAGTTTTAGGAATTCTTTGTGATGCTAGATTTATCCTCGCATCTGCTCTAGCAAGGCAAGGAGCTGCACCCTTCCCCATCAGGTTTTAAGGCTTAAGTGGATTAGAGCCAGGAAGCGCTTCTCCCAGAGGACACGGGGACTCAGGCTATGTCACATAGCTGGAGAGCAGGGGTCTATTGCTCGCTTTTTGTTGCAGTCCCCTGAGTCCTTCCATGATGGCTTCTCAAGTGATCGAGTCTGGCTTAGGTTGCCCCTCACTGTGAGGAGACTTACCCATCATGGGCTTCCAACCATGCTTAGGAAGCAAAGGGAAAAAACTCAGGCAGCGTTTGCTACCAGAGACAAGCCTTTGTCTCCTGTGGCTCCCATTCTGGAGTTCGCTCACTCACCCTTAGCCATAGGGGGTAGTTACGACTCCTGAAAGCAGGCAGAGCAGTCCCCAACAAGAAGTTGTTTGTATAAATTTTATATGACATGAACAGTATATAAAATGATGAAATTTCACCACCATGTTTGATCATGATTTTGGTTAAATTAAGAATAAAAGTGAAAGCATGCATTGAAATTCACAACTACAGTTATATTGATATATTATGATTTGATATTAATAAAGGTTTGGCATAGACAATTTTTGGTGGGCCTTGGTGATATTTAATACTTTTTCTAAAGATTTTATTTATTTACTTAGTTTTAGATAGAGGGGAAGGGAGAAATAGAGGGAACATCAATGTGTGGTTGCCTCTCGTGGGCCCCCTTCTGAGGACCTGGCCTGAAACCCAGACATTTTTTCTGATTGGGAATCGAACCAGTGACCCTTTGGTTTGCAGGCCAGCATCCATCCACTGAGCCACACAAGCCAGAACTGATATTCAGTACTTTTGCTTTTACATAACCTGTGTATGTTGCATTATTTACAACCCAATAAAATACCCTTTAGTGATATATAAAAGGATCCAGCACAGGAGATCATGGGAGAAGTTCCTTTCTGAGGGCAAGGTGTTTGACCACAGCCCCTTAGGTCTGACCTGGCTTTTTCTATTCCTTCTGGATTATGAAATAATTGGGTGCTGCTTTTCCAGAACGAGTTTCTCCCAAATCATACGTCTTTCCTCCACTTTAGGCCTGAAGTTCCTACAGGAATTAATTTCTACCCTGCCTTCCCCTTTTCAATGGATGGCCCACATTTAGCTTCTTGAGAGCTGGTGTGTCTGATCATTTGATCCCCTTATCACAAGTGCTGAGAAGGTTTACGTCCTGGTTTTCCCTTTTTTGAGTATGAATTAGCATGCTTGTGTGCTTTTCTGGATTGAATGGAAAATGAAGGGGGACCAGGAAGTAGAAAAAGGAGGTACCAAGGGGAAATGAAGAAAGAGAGAATCAGCAGGGTTGGGAGACTTCAGAGCTAAGGGATCAGAGAGGGTCAAGAAAGGGAAAGGGAACGCGCCTTACTACTCCCACTGTGCCCAGCACCACTGAACACCAGCCAGCAGTGGTCCACGGCCTCGTCCTCGGGCTGGGCCCCCGACAGGGTCAGGGAAGCTTTGCCCCGAACATGGAGCCTGAGAACCGGGCAGGGGTCCAGGAGTGTTTACTGTTTGTATCATAAATCAGTGTCACTGGGACTTGGTCAGACTTCTGCTGGATCCAGTGTGGAGAGTTATGCTGGTGACAGCTCCAGTGCTGGAGGCTCAGGTGAGAGTGACTGTCCCTCCTGGGGACACAGTCAGGGAGGGCTCCTGAGTCACCACAGCCTGAGACCTGGATCCTGAAATGAAAACAGTCATATGTCAGGAATGAAGAATAAAGGCAGAGGGATCCCTCCAAAGGCTGGTCTCTAATGAGTCCACAGACCTGGGCAGAGGGTGAGGAGGGGGAGCAGGAGGAGAGGAGTCCAGGCCATGGTGGACACTTTCCAAATACCCTGGCCTCAGGCTGCTGCTGCTCTCTGGGTGTCCCTTTATCTCCTCCTCAGCTCCCTGGGTGAGGGGAGTGTTTGGTGGGACGTTATGCAAATAGGAGGCAAGAGCAGCATCCACTTCTGGGTCCTGGGTCCAGTTAATAGTTCTACTCTCAGGAGGAGGCTGGGTTTGTTGTGAGCTCTGAGTCTGTCCCTTGAGAGGAAGCACCTGCTGGCACTCTAACTCAGGCAAGGAATGTGGGCACAGGGCCCATTGAATTAGAACCATTTGGGTTGGTTTCAGGCCTTGCATCTCTGAGAAGACCCACAGCATCCCCTGGTGACGTCCTCCACAGATTACTCATGGTGGGAGCTGTGCAGTAGGAATGGGAGCCCAGTTTTCATTTCAATAATCAATCAATCTATAAACACATGAAAACGTAATTAATAAACTTTATGTATGCTTGATTCCTTCATTGGTTTAAAAAATTTTATCTTTGACATTTTTTATTTCTACACTTCCATTTGGTGTCGTTTTATCATATCTTCTTCTATTTGAGTTTCTCTCCTTTTCCATTTTTTACAAGAATATCTGCAGCTGCAGGTTACAGGGATTTCATGACTATTGCCAAAGAAACCTGTCACATAATTTAATTATCTGAGTCATTTCTGTGTTGGTTTCTGTAGACTTTATTGGCGTCTTCAAGTTTTCAGTTTCCTGGTTCTGGATATGACCAGTGTTACTTCTTACAGGGTCCAGGCCATTGGGAGACCACATTAGGGGCCCCTGAGTCCCCTTTCCTCTGTTTTCCATCAGGCCACCTGCCTGCTGAGCTGCAGCAGAGAAGGTCAGGGGGCGGATGTTCAGCTCCCAGTGGCCCCACCAAAGCTGGTGCACTGACTCCCCTGCTTTGATACCTTCCTGGGGACAGTGGGGCACTGACTGTCACCAGCTCATTCCCTTCAAGTTAGAGTGAGTGTCAAGCCCACAGCCCGGCTCCGTGGACTCAGGGAGGGAAGCACAAGGAGGAGGGGAGCTGCTGTGCTCAGTGGGTTGGCCGCCCAGTTCCCCACTGGATCTCTCGGGCATCACTGATACAAGGAGGGTTGGAGTCCTTGCGTGGCCCACTTGCCTGCCTCCCACCCCTTACTCAGATCTCTGAATGCAACTGGGTGGTCAAGGCTTAGCTCCTCACTGGGTCCCACAGTTACAAGCAAGGGGCACAGGAGTGCACACTAGCTCTGGCCTGTACCCCCTCATCCAGTCTCATTGCTGAGGGGTGAGCTTCAAGTTCAGGCCCCAGCTGGATGGCCAGAATCATGGGTGGGAGAACTAGAGTGCTAACCAGCTTCAACTGGCCCTACCTGGCTGAGGCTTATTGAGTTTCTAATGGGAGGGAGTCAGCCTTCCACTGAATCACCCACACTGTCCCAGGTGGCGAAAGGACAATGCCAGCTTGTGCTGGGAGGGAATGGGGACCCACACCCTGGCCCTTATGGCTGACATCCCTGGATGGGGGTGAAGGTCAGTGTTGTATAGTGTGGGAGGGCAGTGGGTTAATTTTGTCTAACATTATAATCTTGCAAACACAGGGTTATCTTTAAAAACTAAGAAGCTAACTTAGATAAAATAATATTAACTAAATTTCAGGTTTTATTAAAATTTCACAAAATTTCCATATATATTCTTTTTCTGTTCATAGAACCATTCCAAGAATCCCATAATTCAATAAACATTCCAGAACACAATCACACTCAAATATATATATTTCTAACTTACTAGTTGTAATGCTTTTCAAAAACATTATTTTGTGTTGCCCCAATATGAATTTTCTGTAAGCAGATTTTTGACAAAGATGAGAAGTGTTAATAAAAGGACAATTTCCGGCTCTGCTTCTCCCCTCACAGCCCAGGGCTGAGCGCCCTGGGGAACCTGGTGTAGGAACAGCACCTGCAGCCCCTCACCTGTCCTTGGGCCAGAGGAGGCCCCCCTGGGACTGGGAGGGGGTTCCTGGGAGGCCCTTCTAAACAGGTGTCTTCTCAATGCATCAAAATTTATGGAAGTCATAGACATTTTCTCAACCTGTGGTTGTAGTTTTCAATTTAAAAACAAGGAATAACAAAAATCAAGTCACAGTTTTCAGCAATGACCTGAGATTTTAAACCTCTTTCTTAAAGCTGATTCACGAGAGACTCTGACATGGAATTTAACTTGAGAAATTTCAAAGAAAAGCATTCAGGAATAATTTCACAATAATAAAGGTAGAGGCGGTTTTCAAACTTCAATGTTCCTAAAATAGTGTAAGTGACTTGCTTAAACACAGATTTTGCTCACACACAGTTCTGACCCAGCAGGCCTTGTCAGGGGACCAGCATCACCTGCAAGCTCCCAGTGACACTCTCACTTAAATGCTAATAAAACATTCCTGAAAACACAGTGTGAAATCAGTACATGAGAGGATGACTTGTTAAAGCTCCTGGAACACAGGCAGGATTACAAAGACCACTGTGGGCTCTGAGTCCCTCTGATGGTTAATGTGTCTGCACTCAGCTTTCTGCCCCCTCATGGTTCTAGGGAAAGAGAAGACAGGAAGCCCATTCTGTCAGGGTCACGCCTGGGACAGATGGGCACACCCTTGGGGAGCCTGGAGGAAGCACGTGAAGAAGAGCCACTGCACATGGGAATGGGGCCCTGGAGCCCCTCCCCTTGGTGTGCTGACCATTCCCACCCTCTCTCTTTCCTTCTGTCACTAAAGCTGAGCCATTCTGAGCACAGAAGGAGGATTTAGTCACACTTCCCCATGGGGTCACATCACTGTGTAAGTATAAATACCCATGTCCAGAGCACAATAATAATCTGCCTCGTCCTCAGGCTGTGCCCCTGTGATGGTGAGGGCGGCTTTGTTCCCAGATATGGATCCAGTGAAGCGCTCAGGGACCCCAGAGAACCGGTTGTTTGTATGGTAGATGAGCGAGCGGGGAGCCTTGCCTGGAGTCTGCTGGTACCAGCCGGGGTGGTTACTACTAGAGACTGACCCAGAACTAAGGCCACAGGTGAGTGTGACTGTCCCTCCTGGAGACACAGACAGTGACGGCTCCTGGGTGACAGTTTGAGAATCCACACCTGAAACCAACAGGGAAGACATGAGTGTTGTTACGAGAGACAAGATCACCCCGAGGCCCTGCTTTGTTGTGTCCCCCAAGAGTGCAGAGTCCCCTCCTCTGACCTGAGCTGTAAGTGAGGAGTCCCAGCAGGAGCACGGTCCAGGCCATGGTGGGAAACTCACAGGACAGAGTCTACTCAGGCTTCTGGGGTGATGGGAGGTGTCCTTGGGACCTTTTCTTGCCTCCCAGACCCATTAGGAGAAGAATGTGCTTCATGCAAATCAGCTTCCTCTGTCCTCCTGCCCCAGTGTCACCCTGATGTCCCCTGGGGGTTATATTGAAAGAGGTAGGTGCTGGCACCTTCCACACAGCAGTGACTGCACAGTGACTGAGACACTGAGTGAGGCACTTGGCTGGATGTCTTCCACCCAAGCAGCTTCCTAAGTCCCCGGGGACCTCAGTCCTAATTTCCCCTCTGGAAAATGGGAGGACTGAGCAGTGACCTGTGTGCAGTCTCACCTACAAGCCCCAGAGGCTCTGTTTTTTCCGAACCTAACACCATCGTCTGACCGTGTTGTGACCTCTCTGGTAAAACCCCTTCCTGCCCTCCCTGTGGGTTCTTAGCAGGTCTCCTGCCTCCAGCACTGAGACCACTAGGGAACCGCAGAGCTAGTGTCAGGAGTGTGAAGGGACAGGAGTCTCCCACTGACACAGCCCTGTCAGCTCTGTGGGTACAGCAGTCAGGGGACCAGGGCAGTAGCTGTCCCCCAGGTGTGGGTGCCAGCTCCCCTCAGCTCCCTGCAGTCATAGTGCCCAGAGTGTCCTCCACATGGCTGCAGGCTTTGAGGAGAAAGACAACAGCATCGCCATCAAATTACATGATTTATCCCAACAAACGAGGGGTATAACAAAATAAGAAAAATATGCCTGATAGTTAGAAACAAAAGGAGAGATTCACACGGTGCCTAGACTAGTTGGTGTGAACACCAGGGGGCATTTAACCACCTTGGTCCCCACTGTCCCCTGTGGAGCAGAGGGAATGGACAGGAAGGAGGGAGACTTGGGGGGAGGGAAGGTGCAGGAGATAAAACTTTTTCAGTATTTGGTGAAGATAATTCCCTCTATTGTTTCATCACAGTGTAGAATAAAAACTATGACTTCATATTTATTGGCAATTAAGAACTGCCATTAAACTGATTAATGACATTTTCTTCTTTTATTCTCATCATTGTGTTCATAATGCTCAACTTACATCAGGCAAAATGATTCCTACTGCAATATGCTATGCCTATGATAATCAAATGCTACATGTTGAAATAGAGATAATTACACAATTATATGTGCTTTTATGTATTTTGAAATGAGAAGGATGTAAAACTTAAGGTAAAAGTAAGTAATTTGAAAAGTAATTGAAATATCTAAAAATATAAACCTCATCACTTTCCATAAGTCATTGGGAATTAATGTCGCTGAAATAAATGGGAAATAGACCAGCAAAACATATCATCTAAATATTGAGTTGGCCAAAATGTCCATTATGCTTTTCCCATAAAATAAAATACTTGTTTCATTTTTACCAATAACTGTTGATTCAGATGTTTTGAGTATGTTGGCTACCTCCCGCTATTGGCTTCTAGTGGGTACTGCTAAACATCTTCCAGTGAAGAAGACAGCCCCACAGCCAAGAATTATTTGTCCAAATGTGAATAGTGCTGAGAAAGTTTGCAAACCACTTTTGACACATTTGATTAGTCCCAGGATCTTCTTCATACACTGCTCAAATCTTTTACTTTGCATTTCAGTTGTGTTTTTACCTTTCTCCAAATAATAAAGCATACTATGCTGAAACTGTTGCATATCTTCTTCCACCTTCAGTATTAAAATAAGCACACAAATATTCACCAATTTTTTATTATTTTAACGCACGCTGATATGACAGCTGTCATAATACAATCTGACAAAATTGCTTCAAATGAAGTTAAAGACAACTAAGCACTAGTAGAACCATCGAACGGAAAAACTACCTGAACTTTCTGGCTGACCCAGTAGATGATCCTCCCTGGACCAGGCAACAGCACCCCCTACTGTCTTCACAGCCCACCTGTTCCAGGCTTCCAGACACCACCCAGCTCTCCTGCAAGGGCCAGAGGGAGTACAGGGAATGACTTTTGTCCTTGGATGTTATCTGATGTCACTGAGTAAGGCAGTACATTGAGTAGGTCCCTGCAGGGTGGATTGGGACCCAGACACCGATATTCCACATCACTAATGACCTCTAAAGTGTTCAATACAGGACCTGGAGCACACAACTTGTTACTGGCTCTTTCAGGGTTAGCTGGGAACATCTACACTGTTTGTTCTTACAGGTTAATTTATGTCCCTGCTGATGCTCTGGGGAGGGTCTCCTGTGGACCCCCAGCCCCCACTGCAGAGGCTGTGGCTTTGGTCCCTCTCTGTGCATGAGATGCATCATTGTCTGGGGTCACATGTTCTGCTCTTCCTTCCTGCTCTGGGTTTCCACTGTCCCTCCTTGTCAGCCTGGTGATGCCTTATTTTCTTGTGATTGTCTAACACATTTCAGACATCAGAGTTTAAATAATTGTTTCCTCAGTGAAAAAGCTAATATAAAATGGAGAAACAACTTTGTGTCTTTTAGTGAGCCTGGAGTTTATAAGATCCACACCCAAATGACAGACATTTATCCAACATCCTTCCACCAAAAATCCTAGAGAGGAAAACCCTTTGGAGGTCAGGATGCTGAGCTGGGACAGTGAGCACTTGGGGGTCTGAGAGCCTCTGTTCAATGGGAGGCTTTGCCCAGCTCTGGAGATGCAGGGGCTCCACACAGCTCTGACCTAAGGTCACAGGAGACCCAGCTTCTGTCAGGTCTCAGGGCTCAGGGGGTTATCAGTGGAGCCCAGGCTGGCACCAGGAGACACACAGGGCACTGGGCGCGGGCCACCTGGTTCTCTCAGTCACACATGATGCACTTCTGTCCTCCTCTCCACCCAGACACTGAGCAGGTATTTTACTTGTGGTAACAATTGTGTTTGTGTTGGGAGACCAGTGACCCCAAAGCAGATATTTCCACTTACTTTCTAAGGATGAACTGAGTCGAGGGCTGGCCCCCAGCTTTAGTAGCACAAGGGACAGCACATGCCCAAAACTGAGCTGGTGTTGGTCACAGGCAGGGACAGGGGAGTGATGGGTCATATAGGAGAGGAGGGGACAGATTTGATCATGTGTCCAGATGGAACATGTACTCTCTGTGGCATTGGCTTGTGTTCCTCTCTGCAATGATGAACTTCATCCTGAGCCTCAAACTAGAGCCCAGAGGTGATTACGCAGGTTCTGGTGACAGACCTGGATCAGGACAATCAGGCTCAAACCTCTGGAAGGTCCCTCTGTGCTGTGTCAAGGAAGGAAAGCTGGGGCCCTGCATGGGGACCCTGGGGACAACTGCCATGGCAAATCCCGTGGGTCTGTGGCTCCCAGTGCAGGAGAAAGTGACCTTGGATCTGGGCTCACTGAGAGCTTCACAGGGAGTGTGACACAGGAACATTGGGGAGCACCCGCTCCTGCTGCCCCCCCCCACCCTGGGCTGTTGGAGAGCTACAGGAGGGTGTGGGATTGGTGGGGGCACGGTCAGTGTCCACACACTCAGGGATCCACTCCCAGGAGTCTCCATGGTCCTGAGAGATGTCAGCTGTCAGACTGTCTCATCCCTGGACCCACTTTACCCTGGAGCAGGGTTGGGGATTCCCCAGGAAATGTAGCCCATCGCCCATCCTCTCCTGTCCCATTAAGAGGCCTCCTAATCTCAGGCCCCAAATTTGCCTTCAGAGGAACCCTCCTGTCCGTGACCTCACACCTGAAGGTCCAGGTACCAAGCCAGGGGGCGTGTCTGCTCTGTGCCTAGAGTTCCTGTTACCTGTGCCCTCACCCAGCATCTCACCACCCTGTCCTGTGTCCATGGGGCCCAGGGTGCTCAGCAGCCTTGAGCTCAGGGACTGGCAGAGAGGGACTGGCTCTGCTTCAACACCCTGATTAGGTCTCCTAACCTCAAGCCAACTCCATAGGCCTCTCCTCCCTCAGATGCAGGCAGGTCACGTGGACATGGAGCAGTATGTTCCCAGGGCTCTAACGTCCTCCACGATTTTCTTACAGTTTCCACTTCTTTGCTGAGATTTCCTACCTGTTCTTTCAATACAACTGGATGTCACTGAAATTCTCACCGTGAGTGTATAAAGACACTTGGAAATGATGGTACTTGGTGTCTGACCATAAACTAAATGTCTTCGTTTACATAGGTCTCCTTCATGTAGAACAGGAAAGTTCATACCTCTCATTTTACACGGTCAGATTTTTATATTTATCTTTAAGTATTTCTTATTTTTTATTCCATTATAAGTGTTTTTATATTGGCATTGTTAAAATCCTTGTTCAAGTACATGGTGATTTTATTTATTTTAGACAGAGAGGACAGGAGAGTGGGGAGGGAGACAGACAGACAGACACATGTGAGACAGAAACATTGCTATGTAGCCTTTCGTATGCTCCCCACTGGGTATCACACCTGTCACCTAGGTGTGTACTCTGTCTGGGAAATGAACCTGCGAGCTCTTTGTGACTCTGATGATTCTCCAACCAACTGAGCCACCCAGCGAGGACCATTAGAGATGTTTCTTTTTAATTTGATTGTTCATTTTTGTTTTCTTGTTAATTTGTGATGATTCCTTCCTAGTGTTCAATTGCTGCTTATTTCTGAGGTTAAAAGCCCATTAAAATAACTAGCGAAGAACCATCACTGCGTCTCTGAAACTAGAAAAGGGGGTGTTTGTGCTGCCTGTCAGCTACCAGTCCTAATGAACAGAGATGGGAGTGAGCGTCTATGGGCACTTTATTCAGATGGCAGGCGATCTGAGAAGATGGTGGGGCTGTGCCCTAACACACTGTCCTACATTTCCTTACAATCCAGCCTTTTTATAACAGAGAACAAAGAGCAGTGAGGGGTTTGGAATTAGGGGGAAATTATATTAAAAAAACCTACTGCATTCTCACTCTGAGGGTCAGCTGTGCCCCTGTCTCTGCCTGGAACACAATGGCATGGAGACCACCTTGATCACTTATGGTCTCTGTGGAGCATGAAGGTGCATGGGTGTGGTCTCCTGGAGTCAGGGTGGACCGTACCTGCACTTCCCAAAACAATCGCTTTTCACATGCATTCACTACTAGGCATATTAACTAGGACCTTACACTAAAATTTTCCCACTCCTAAATTCCCATCATTCCAACCGTACTCAAGCTTGGCATGGCCAGTACCAACCACTGGGAGACGTTTCTCCCAGAAAGGACTCTCTGCCTCTGGGACAGGGACAGCCAAGACTTAGTGGCGATGGTGACTCTCAGTGAGGATGAGGGAAAGGCCAGATGGCTCAGGTTGTGTCTGCAGTAGTGGCACCAGGTGTGAGCCCTGCATTAGACTTGGTTTCAGGCAGAGCAGCTGTGAGGTTCCCTGGCAGGAGGAGCCCAGGGAGGTTTTAGTCTCACTTCCTGTGACTCTGGAGCACTGTGCAAACTATAGGGGCTGCTGTAATACAGAGCACAGTAATAAACGGCCTCGTCCTCAGGCTGGGCCCCTGTGATGGTGAGGGCGGCTTTATTCCCGGAGATGGATCCAGAGAAGCGCTCAGGGACCCCAGAGTACCGGTTGTTTGTCCTATAGATAAGCAGTCGAGGAGCCTTGCCTGATGTCTCCTGGTACCAGCTGGGGTAGTTACTACTAGAGACCGACCCAGAGTTAGAGTCACAGGTGAGTGTGACTGTGCCTCCTAGAGAAACAGACAGTGAGGTCTCCTGGGTGACAGTCTGAGAATCCACACCTAAAACCAATACGAAAAACATTGGTGTTGTTATGAGAGACAAGATCACCCCGAGACCCTGCTTTGTTGTGTCCCCCAAGAGTGCAGAGTCCCCTCCTCTGACCTGAGCTGTAAGTGAGGAGTCCCAGCAGGAGCACCGTCCAGGCCATGGTGGGAAACTCACAGGACAGAGTCTCCTCAGGCTTCTGGGGTGATAGGAGGTGTCCTTGGGGCCTTTTCTTGCCTCCCAGACCAATTAGGAAAAGAATGTGCTTCATGCAAATCAGCTTCCTCTGTCCTCCTGCCCCAGTGTCACCCTGATGTCCCCTGGGGGTTATATTGAAAGAGTTAGGTGCTGGCACCTTCCACACAGCAGTGACTGCACAGTGACTGAGACACTGAGTGAGGCACTTGGCTGGATGTCTTCCACCCAAGCAGCTTCCCTAAGTCCCCAGGGACCTCAGTCCCAATTTCCCCTCTGGAAAATGGGAGAACTGAGCAGTGACCTGTGTGCAGTCTCACCTACAAGCCCCAGAGGCTCTGTTTTCCCCGAACCTAACCCCATCCATCTGACCATGTTCTGGCCTCTCTGGTAGAACCCCTTCCTGCCCTCCCTGTGGGTTCTTAGCAGGTCTCCTGCCTCCAGCACTGAGACCACTAGGGAACCGCAGAGCTAGTGTCAGGAGTGTGAAGGGACAGGAGTCTCCCACTGACACAGCCCTGTCAGCTCTGTGGGTACAGCAGTCAGGGGACCAGGGCAGTAGCTGTCCCCCAGGTGTGGGTGCCAGCTCCCCTCAGCTCCCTGTAGTCATGGTGCTCAGAGTGTCCTCCACATGGCTGCAGGCTTTGAGGAGAAAGGCAACAGCATCGCCATCAAATTATGAGATTTATCCCAACAAAGAAGGGTTATAACAAAATAAGGAAAATATGCCTGATAGTTAGAAACAAGAGAGTCACGTGGTGCCTAGAGTTATTAGTGTGAACACCAGGGAACATTTTAACCACCTGGGTCCCCACTGTCCCCTGTGGAGCAGAGGGAATGGACAGGAAGGAGGCAGACTTGGGGGGAGGGAAGGTGGCAGGAGATATAATTTTTTTCAGTATTTGGTGAAGATAATTCTGTCAATTGTTTTCATCACAGTATGATATCAAAACTATGATTTCATATTTATTTCTTAATTTCCAGTAACCTGATTAATGAAATTTCAATGTACTTTTTGTTCACATCATTGTGTTCATGATGCTCAACTTACATAAAATAAAATGATTCCTACTGAAATACTGTATGTGTATAGTAACCAAATGCACATTTGATGCAATGGAGAATATTATATAATTATAAATGTCGTATCTGAGAAGGAGAAGGGTCTAAAATTTAAGGTAAAAATAAATCATTGGAAAGGCAATTGAAATATCTCAATATATAAATAACATCAGTTTCCAGAAGTTAGTAGGCATTACTGTCCCTGAAATAAGGGGAACTGGACCAGCCAGACATGTTATCAGAATATATGACAGTGAAGGACCACAGCCTTGACCATGAGTGTCCTGGTGAACACACTGGACCCTCACAGCTGCTTGCAGGGTGCCTGACATCTGCAGGGAGCCCTGAGCCTCCTTCGGAAATTGTCTGAGACACTAGGGTTGAAAGCAGTTCTCTGCTGTGGGGAAACCTGGGCTGCAACTGGGAGGAAGTGCTGAACTGAGGGTTGTTAGAACGCATATGGGAGAGGAACCCAGGGGGCCCAGGAACCCATCACAAGGCAGGAAGGTGGAGCGCAGCGCCCCCTGGTGGCTCTGGGGTGATACTGCCTCACCCAGCTAAGAGCTTTCCTTTGGACTGAGCTGTGCATCTGAAAGAACCCTGCTGGTGCACTTCATGGACCATGGGCTGCAGTATCAATGAGTCCGTGACATCATGTCTGGTTATACCATCTTGTCCTCTTATGGTGGGTCACAGCAACACCTGTGAGAGCTCTGAGTGGGGCATCTGCCATGTGGTTCAGGACTTCTTCATATTTGCTCTCCCTCCAAAACCCGTGTTCCTCTTCCTCAGAAACATCTCATAAGCCCTAACTTCAGCCCGTGTCCTCCCTCGTGGACAAGCAAGTCTTTCTTGATATAACATGGGTTCTACCGGTTTCTTGAGGTATTTGTCCACCTATGCTCATAAATGATGTCCTATAATTTTGAAACCTCAGACTGTTCCTGTTGGGGGGTTTCTGCTTTTATGATAATTAATGAATTAGATTAGACTATATACCTCTATTTCAGGTATTTGAAATACCTTCCTTTTTAGAGTTTAAAGTGAAAGTGAGTTTATTAATAAAGCTAGGAGACAGAGAATGGCCACTCCATAGGAAGAGCATCCTGGAAGACCTTCTTGAGGATTTCCCAGAAATGTGTCATTATGCTTCTGGCTCAGACTCAGTGTCAGAGATCATCCCCCTGACACACTCACATGCACACACACACACACACACACACACACAGACCTGGAGAACGTGCACGAAGGCAGGATTGGAACTGTCTAACCCAGGACACTGGAACTGGGGACAGAAGGTTGTAGAAAGACTGAAATAACCCACTTCTTGTGTCCAGATGACAAAAGTAAAGGGCAGTGTGACTGTCCCCCAGGGACATCCTTCACTCCCCACAATGAAGCTCCTTGTAGAATGAATGAGGAGGGTGAGGAGCAGAAAGATCTGGGTCATGACATGGGGAAGCCCCAGCCCTTGCCTGCTCAGGCCCAGTTGCTAGAACTCTCTCATCACCAGTTGTCTCTTGTCCTGTGCCCACGAGACTTGAAAACAGTTTCCCACTGAAGAAGTGACAACATATGACACCTTCAGTTCGACTTGGTCTCAGGCAGATCAGGGGTGACAGCCACAGGCAGAAAGAGCACAGGAGGGCTTTAGTCTCACTTCCCCGTGACTCTGCAGCACCGTGTAAGTTTTACTGTTTTCGTGCCACATATTACAGTAATAGTCGGCCTCGTCCTCAGGCTGCAGTCCAGAGATGGTCAGGAGCCCTGCATTGGCCGATGCATCCTTGGATCCAGAGAAGCGGCTGGGGACCCCAGAGGCCTGGTGCTTCTCTGAGTCTGATTTATACTCCAGCAGATACCGGGGAGGGCTCCCTGGCTTCTGCTGGAACCACTTTATGTAGTAGCCACCAACACTGATGCCACTGCTGAGGGTGCAGGTGAGTCTGGCTGTGGCTCCAGGAGACACCGAGAGGGAGGGCGGCTGAGTCAGCACAGGCTGGGAGAGGGAACCTGCAGACAAAGACATACTGAATACTTGGTCAAGAAACTGTACCATTCTACGAATTCTGAGCAAGAGAGGAGAGATACAAAAGGATGAGCAGGGTCCCCGTGCCTGTCCCTACCTGTGCAGTGAGAGAGGATCACGAGGAGGAGAGGAGCCCAGGCCATGGTGCTCACAGCCCCTGAGCCCACAGTGGGGCTGGGCTGCCCAGGCCTCCTTTTCTCCCCACCCACTGCCAGGGGAGGGGCCGTCCATGCAAATGTGTGTCCATCCAGGGGCTGCCCACCCCTTTCTTGAGCCCTGGTGCTCGAGGTCAGCTCCCATCCCAGACAATGGAGGATGGAGGTTGGCTTCACCCCTTTAAAAATAACATCCATCAGAGAAGATCAGGTACATTCAGGGTAGCACTGCCTTACAGAGCATCTGAATTTACCTCAAACACTACTTTGATAGAACATTAGCAGCCCTATGTTCATGGTGGCATTGTTTATAGTCTACAAGATAGGAAGCAGCCTCAGTGTCCCTCAGTAGATGAGTGGATAAAACAACTATGGGACATTTTCACAATGGAATACTGCTCTGCGTAAAAGTAAAGAAAACTTTACCCTTTACGACAGTGTGGATGGACCTAGAAAATTTGATGCTGTGTGAAATAAGCCAGTTAGAGAAATACAAATACCATATGATTTCACTCCTATGTGGAATCCAAGGAACAAACTGAACTAACAAGGAACACAGAGACAGACTCTTAGATACAGACCAGGGTGACAGCTAAGGGGGGAGGGTCAGAGGGGGGAGGGACTGAGACAAAAAGGAAAAAGGACTCATGCACATGGACAACAGTAGGGTGATGGCTGGGGTGGGGGGAGGTGATTAAGAAAGAATGAGTGGTAATGGGAAAAATATAATTCAAGAAAGAAAAAGCCTGGGGAGGAAGCACCTGCTGAGAGAACACAAAGGTCTTTGCTCAGAGGATCTGCCAGGCCAGAGAGGACCCATCTGCAGAGTAACAGTCAGTGAGTTCCAGCCCCTCCCCCAGCCCCAGGCTCCATTGAGTAGAGGCCTAACTGAGCTACTGTGTATGGAGCACAGGGCAGTCCCAGAGCGCCCCCTGCTGGTTTCAGCCCACACTCCTCACCAGGGCCTGAAGCCCTAAGAGCCCTGCTGGTCTCTGCAGCTCAGAAGGTTGCACATGGTCCCTTGGGCTTCATTCCTAAAACTGGAACGATGCTGAATTCCACTTGTGGGTGTTTATCTGAAGAAAACTGAAACATCTTTAAAAGACATGCTCAACCCCAGGTCCAGGACAGCATTATTATACAATAGCCAATATATGGAAATCACCTAAAAATCTGTTGATGGGTCAATGGCTGAAGATCATGTCATACATAATACATAATGTTAAATCAATGTACAAAAGCGCTTTTGAGAGAAATGGAATCTTGTCATTTGACACGACATGAATAAAACTTGACGACATTGTGCCATGTAAATAAGTCAAACAGCAAGACAGATACCATGATCTCACTTACACGTATAATCTGACCAACAAAAAAAACCCTAATAAACAAAAGATACAGAGAACAAATCAGTGGTTTCCAGAGGCTGAGGTAGGGTGGGACAGAAATGAGAGAAGAAGTTCAAAGGTACAAATTTGCAGTTATAGCATAAATCAGGCCCTGGCCAAGCATCTCAGTCGGTTAGAACACGTCTCTATGAGGCAACATTGAAGGCTCTACCTTTGGTCAGGGCACATGCAAGAGGCAACCAATGAATGTGGAAACAAGTGGAACAACAGCATCCACATCTGTGTGTGTCTCTCTCACTGTCTCTCTCCTTTTCCGTGTCTCTCCCAACCCCCTTCCTCCCCCCAAGTCATTTCTGCAAAGAAGCCATCACTTTTTTTTAAGAATGTTCTGGAAGCCAATATCTGGGTAAAGGCAGGCTCATCACTCTGGGCACCATCATATGCAATTCCACTCAACAGACAAGGTAATGAAATATTTAGAGTAAACTAGTGCAGGAACTTGCAAATTTGTAAATATTTCCATATGCAATCATACGTGCCCGTGAAACCAAACCTGATCTCACACTCGTATGGGCAAGTTGAATATGTCACTGCCTGGAGCATCACGCCTCCTGCCCCTGGTGATAAATCCCGATTTCCATTCCCGAAGCAGTAGTCTGGCTCCCACCGGTGCCCACCCACTATGACAGTGCACAGCACAGCCACACCTGCACTGTTACCTGGACACCCTGGGAATCCACTTTACCACCTGCAGCACAGTTTCATGTGCAGTTTCCTTTGCTGTTAGTGTGACAGGCGCCCTCACTGTCACAGGTACTTCGGTCAGTAACTTCCTTCCCCTTCTCCCCAGGGCAGTGGCTCCTGCCTTCACAGTGCAAACTGATGGGCACCTGTCACTTCCGCATCCCACCACGGGACCCTCAACCTCCTAAACTGCGTGTCATGTGCACACGTTAAGGTTGTCATTGTGCTTCTCAGTTTTCAAAGCATTTGACAAGGTCACAGTGCCATTTAGGTGCCATTAGACTGTTATATAGAATAATTTTGTTGTTCCTCTTTTTTTTTCACGCAGTCACATTTACAACAGATGTTCATACTCTCCCTAGAGTGTTGCCTCTTCCAAATTGTGACATCATTAGAAACATAATCTGAATCACATGGCCTTTAAAAAAGAGGCCGCTTGTTGGAGAACATCACCGCTGCTCCCACTTGGGTGAGTCTGCACACAGCTGTAACACACACCCACACACGGCCTGTTGGTTGTTGTCAGGTTGGGGAGACTGGTAATAAAGCAGCTCTGAACATTCACACACACGTTTTTTTGTGGAAAGAAGATTTGAATTTATTTTTATCATTTACTTTATATTTTTATTGAGGTATAATTGACATACAATATTACACTAGTTTTAAGGGTACAACATTATTGTTCTATATGGATACATATTACAAAAAATTCCCATAAAAGTGAGTCTAGTTGACATCTGACACTATACATCGATAGAAATATTATCATTCTTGTGTTGCAAATGTCTGGAGTCTGCACATTTAGCTGCAGTTCATAGTTGCATGATCATAGCATCTCTGTACTCATCCCGTGCTGTCCATGATGTCCCCAGAACCATTCATTTCCCAACTGAAAGTTGGCCCCCTTTCCCTCCCTTTGAACACATGGGCCACCTCCTTCATCTGTTACCTCTTCACACTACCAATCTGTTATAATTTTACACTTCTACATGGACATATTTTCACTGAGAATCAGAAGACGATACAGCAGTCAGCAGTGATTACACTGAAGAACATTGTAACACGAGATGCAGACCAGGCTGACTCATCCTTCACACACAGCACACACAGTGCTCAGGCCCCATGGTAGGTTCAGGGGCCCAACACAATGTTTTATTTCTTTGAACATCACAATAAAAACTGAATACAAACCAGTCTGGAAGTAAACTGTCTCTACCTTGTGGGAAAATGAACTTCCAGTTTTGTTTAGGATACTTAGTCTGGGAAAGGGCTGTTGTGAGTGACTCTGAGGACAAAAAGGACAGAGCAGCCTTCAATCCCAGACAGTGTTCCTGGGGGAACCTGGGTCAGTACAGCAGCCAGAGAATGAGCAGAAGTCACAGGGCACAGGCTGAGCCTGAGCAGCAGCAGCTGCAGTGTTCACCCAGCTCACAGATGCCACAGGGGTTCTTGTCTCACTTCCCCACAGGCCTGCAGCACTGTGGGACCACTGAGATCATCATCATAGGTCTGGCAGTAATAATCGGCCTCGTCCTCATCCTGGAGCCCAGAGATGGTCAGGGTGGCTGAGCTGCCAGACTTGGAGCCAGAGAATCGATCAGGGACCCCTGAGTATCGATTGCTATTACTATAGATAAGGACTTTGGGGGCCTTTTCTGGGAGCTGTTGGTACCACTTCACAGAATTACCCCCAATGTTGGAGCTGCTTCCAGTGCAGGAGATGGTGACCGTCTCTCCTGGGTTCCCAGACACTGAGGGCGGCTGAGTGACCACAGACTGGGCCCAGGATCCTGCAACACAAAGACACATGCAGATGGTAATTATGGGTCTAGAGACAAAGAAGAAAATACAGCGTGAGTTTCTCCAGGGTCCATCTTCTGTCCCCATGTGCAGTCACCTGTGCAGTGAGACAAGAGGGTGAGCAGGAGAGGGGACCAGACCATGGTGGAGACCATCCCTGGGTCCTGCCTTCTGTAGCCCCACAGCTGAAGCAGGTTTTCCCAAAACCTCTCCCCTCCCTTTGTACTGAGAGAAGAGGACCCATTTATGCAAATGTCCCCCCACCCCACCTTCTCAGCTATTTGATTCTTCCCTGAGCCCAAACCACCTGCCTTTGCCTGAGGACACCAGGGGTGTCTGTAGGGGTGGGGCTTTGTGAGACCTGTGCTTTGGGGAAGTCACATCTCTCAGCCCCAACTGGCTGGCTGCTCCCAGCTCAGATCACCCCAGTTCCCTCAGAAACAACACCTGAGCGCCCTCTAGTGCCCAGACTCCCATTATGTGTGGTCACCAGAACCTCTCAAACAAAGCCTCAGATTTCCACTTCCTGGCCACTGAAACTGCCTTAGGGCCAGGCCACATGTCCCCTTCTGTGGCCTCTCCATCATTCCAGGGCACATCAGTGATGTCCTCAGAGACCTCAGGGTAAGCCTTTCCTCACCTCACTGGGCTGTCCATGCTCAGAAATGACATGGCATCTCTAACATAAAGCCTTAGGCCAGTATCATGTCCAGAGCAGTGACCGGCCCAAGGCAGGCATGTCCCCTTCTGTGCAGGACACAGGCTCCTACTTCCCTGGTTGTTAGAGGTCTCCTTCCCTGTGGGTCCCCAGCAGAACTGAGGAGAAAGGGCCTCTTCTCTCTAGGGACCGGGCAGTTATGGGGAGAAAGCCCCCTGCTCATCTCTAGTGTGCGACGCTGTCTGAACCTTTGTCTGTCATTATCCCACCTGCAGGAGACCCTCAGTCCCCCCACACTGAGAGCGGCAATCCCTCCTGGGAGCCTGTCCTCAAGTTCACAGTCAAACTTGGCTGGGACCTTGCCCTATGGCATTGTTTGTGGCTTGTCTGTAGGAGTAAAAAGGGCAAACATTTAAAAAGTCCATGAAAAAATCTATATTGCTGGCAGAGGATTTTATTAATGCTGTTTACCAAACTTAATTAAATGCAGGTATGTTGTTGTATATACAAGTCACCTCAATAAGACTGAGTTGAGAATTCAGTGATGATAAATACTGATGAAAATTGTGTTCAAATACTTATAGCAATGCACTGGAAATGCTGTTCTTGGTTGAAATGGTGGCTCTGAGACAGGTCTCCTAGCCGGTCACTCCTGGGCTGCTGCTGTCCCTGGGCCATGCTGTCCACCTCTACGGTGCTGCCACAGGTGACCTTGTTCCTGAGACCTGGCCCCACATGGTGGGTGCATGTGCCAGCCAAGCTTGGAAACAGGAGCCTGAACGATATAACACATAGAGGAGCTAAGATTTGGGGAACGGGACTCACTTTGCCCACAGCTTATTTCACTGGAGGAATCACAACACAGATGTTGGGAGTGGCAGATGGGAAGTGAGCTTAGTGACCAAGGGGTTTCTGAAAGGAGAGAGTTGTCAGTGTGGGAGCCAAATCCACACATAAACTCAGAAAAAAGCCCTGTGCGAGCTGGGGGTGGGAAGACGTAAGCAATGGGTTACAAACCCTTTCTCAAGTCCTCACTTGATAAAGTGATAAAATATCCTCCAAATGTGACAATAAGGATAAGAACTGACCTTCTCGTTAGTGCTGTTCTGGGGAGAGAGGCTGTGGGAGCCCCAGAGGTGGACTCACGTTCCCCTGGGGCTGGGGCTGGGGCTCAGGAGAAGACAGGGCCTTGGGGTATGCTGGTCAGTATGTTCAGCTTCATCCTCCAGCTGTCCTCAGGGGCTTCTGCTGTAGGTGACATGGACACTAACAGAGCACCAACAACCCCAGGATGTGGTTGCTTCAGTGGCCCGGAGTTTCATGAAGCATCACCAGGGCCCATGTAGCAATATCACACCATCGGATCCAGTGCCGCTGCCTCTTCCAGGGCGGGAGGTCTCTGCTTTCTTCCTGGGCCCCAGCCCCTGAAGGAGGCTGGATGAGCAGGGACAGATGCAGGGACCTGTGTGCACAGGGTAGGGACCACACTGCAGGGAGGCGGCAGAGCAGGAGGGGCCCCTGTCTGAGCCCAAGCATCAGGGAGCTTCAGCTGCAGCTGCTTCATGTGTAACGTCGGATAAGGAGAGTCCCTGACATGGGGCAGGCGGTCGGAATCCCTGCCCCTCAGTCCCGGAGCTAAGGCCCAGCAGCCTCTCACCCGCAGTCCCATTCCACAGTCAGAGGAGAGGGAGGGGCCTGGGGAGGTTAATGCTCTGTCAGCTTCCACAATACACTTTATTCTAGTAGTTTCTGTGAACATGTCTGAAGTGTGTTAATCCCATAGCCATTAGGCTGATGGAAGCAGACTATCGTCTATAACGTGAGACGACCTCATCCAGTCAGTGGAAGGGCTGATACAGCCAAGACGGACCTTCCCCAGGAAGACGGAGCTCTGCCAGCAGATGGCCCTCAGAGTCCAACCACACACGTCCTCGTCCTCCCCAGGCCTCCAACCAGCCAGTCCACGGGGAGGGGTTGGGGTCCCCCAGAGTCTCCAGTCATGTGCAACAGTCCCTTAGAATTACTTCCTTGAGATATGTATATATGTGTGTGTGTACATTTATTACTTTCTTGAGATTACATATGTGTGTATGTATATATGTGTGTGTGTCTGCATGTGTATATATTGGTATATGTATATATATGAAGAGAGAGAGACAGGTGTTTGCCCTATCGCTTCAGCCCTGCAGACACACTAACTCACACACAGCTCTTTATTCAAGTCTCTGTTCTATTTCAGCTGTTTTTGATGCTACAGACGATCCTGTTCTGTGGAACCACCTCTGATATGTGGACACAGGGTGGCGCAAATGGACCACTGGGCTCTGGGTCCTGCAAAGGGTGTAAAGGGTCAGAGTCAGGTGGACCACAGGTTCGGGCACATGAGATTCCCCCCTGGAACATCAGCTGTCCCGACCCACACCCCCCACAGACCAGGCTGCCCCACCTGGTCCATCAAAGGGTGTGTCACAATCTCCAAGGACAGGCACAGGCAGCTCTGGAAGGGAACTGTGATTTGCGAGGAGGATCTTTGGAATTTTCCCTCCAGGATCACGGATGCAGGTTCCGTGGGTAAGTTCTGGACATACAGATGGAGACGCCGGATTTTTGGGTCACAGTTCAGGGCTGACAGGAACATAGCGAGATTCCCACCTCATGCCCTGAGCTTCAGGGCAAGGACACTCTTTCTCCATGCCTGACAGGAACATAGGCCTTTGTCCCCCAGGTCCCCTGCCCAGGGCTGGGCTGTGGTGAGTGACTGGAGGACATGGAGGGAGGAGGAACCTTCACTCCCAGGGCTGCCCCAGATGAACCTGACACACAGTGGCAGCAGCTTCTGCCGCAGACGAAGCCCCAGGCCGAGCTGAGCAGGCAGCTGTGGGGGCATTCCCCCCTCCCAGCAGATGAGGGGGGACACTGGTGGCAGCTTCCCACAGGTGGCAGCTCCGTGGACAGGTGGGGGCTGCTGTCACAGGAGTGGCTCTGAGAACCAGCCTCTTCCTTAGGCCTCAGCCAGGTGATGGGCAAGGAGTCCCACTTGGCACATTTGTGCCAGAGACTCAGTCAGAGCCCTTGAGGGTTGACGACTATCATAATAGTCAGGGACCTGAGGGACTTTCCCCAGAACTGTTGGTACAGGGACACATTCTACACACTCTGATGCCTTCTGACTCAGGTACACTGGATTCTGTGTCCCCAGTTCTGCCTTGACCACCGTGGACTCTGTCCCCAAGACTGACTCATCCCTGGACCCACCCTACTACCCTGGAGCAGGCTCAGCGATTCCCCAGGGAACGTAGACGACCCCCCCACCCTCTCCTGTCCCATTGAGAGGCCTCCTGATCTCAGGGCCCAGATTTTCCCTTGGACGAACCCTCTTCCCCATGACCTCACACCTGAAGGCGCAGGCTCCCAGCCCCAGGTCTGGGCCACTCTGTGCCTGGAGTTCCTCTCACACCTGTGTCCTCATCTGGCATCTCACCGCCCTGTACTGGGTCCCTGGGGCCCAGGGTGCTCAGCAGCCTTGAGCTCGGAGACTGAAAGTGAAGGGACGGGCTCTGCTTTGATAACCTGACTTGGTCTCCTAACTTCAAACAAGTCCATAGGCCTCTCCTCCCTCAGATGCAGGCAGGTCACGTGGACATGGAGCAGTGTGTTCCCAGGGCTCTAACGTCCTCCATGATTTTCCTACAGTTTCCACTTCTTTGCTGAGATTTCCTAAGTGTTCATTTGTTACAAGTGACTGTCACTCAAATTCTTGCCACGAATATATAAATACATGTGCAGATGATTGACATTGAGTGTCTGACCTTAAACTAAACATGTCTTCATTTGTTTAGGTCTCCTTCATGTATCTCAAGATAGTTTGTCATTCTCATTTTATGCCAATTTTGTTTTTCAGTTTTATCTTTAAGTATTTCTTTCTTTTGATGCCATTATAATTTTATTGTTAATATTAAGGTTTTTTGTTAATTTTTGATGGTTTATTGCTAGCATGTCCAGTAGTATTCATTTCTGCATGGTGCTCTTGTATCTGAAAACCCCAAGGAAATCATTTACAGAAGAAACATCACTGATTCTCCCCTGGGCTCAGAACCGGACACGGTCGGTAACAACCACTGTCCACACCTGCAGCGTCTCTGCTGGGACATGTGTCACCTGGGAAGGACTCTCTGCCTCTGAGAGAGGGACAGCTGACTTAGTGGCGATGGTAAGTCTCAGTGAGAATGAGGGAAAGGCCGGATGGCTCAGGTTGTGTCTGCAGAAGTGGCATCAGGTGTGAGCCCTGCATTAGGCTTGGATTCAGGCAGAGCAGGGGTGAGGTTCCCTGGCAGGAGGAGCCCAGGGAGGTTTTAGTCTCACTTCCCGTGACTCTGCAGCACTGTGCAGCTATAAGGGCTGCTGTAATATAGGCAATAGTAATAGTCCCCTCGTCCTCAGGCTGGGCCCCCGTGATGGTGAGGGCGGCTTTGTTCCCAGAGATGGATCCAGAGAAGCGCTCAGGGACCCCAGAGGGCCGCTTGCTTGTTTCATAGATGAGGGTGCAGGGAGCCTGGCCT